AAGAAAAGTTGCATGTCAACATATTTGAAATAAAATTTTCCGAAAAAAAATCTGACTTTAAATAATAACTCTTCTACAATACCCGAAGCAACAAGTTTTATCTGTAGAATTTCTCATTTATTTTTATAAATCAGTTTCTTGTCTTACTACTTAGACCGATGGATTTACATCAATTGAAACAAAATATTGAGATGAGCAATTATGATGAAAACATATTTGAATCTCAACGTGATGTGATGATAATGTTTACAAATGCATTGTATTTTTATGCTCCTGGTGATGAAGTCTATGTTCATACACTTGAAACACTATCATTAGCGCAACAACTGTTACAGGTAAATTATACTTTGTAATTTTCATATCTATCGAGGTTTTTAACGTTTATACAGTACTGGAAAATATTATAGAGCCACTGCATTTGGTACTTTTTCGATGAAACCGAGTAGTTAGGGCAAATCTGAATAGTGATTTGGGGTAGCCCTTCAAGTTCTCTATCAAATGCAGTATGCGTCAAAATTACACAAAGGTTTTGAAGAAAGTTTTCTAGAAAATCTCTTTCAGCGGAGCTCTAAATCCTAAAAATGTTTTCAATATAGCCATCTAAAAGAGCATAAAATTCTGAACAAAATGAAGCGCCACGCAGCTCTCCATCATCTTTCGTTGTAAAGTTACACGCATCCGAAAATCCAGTGAAATGTGCTTCTGCTTGTTTTAGGGTACTTTTAGCGCTTTTTTCGTAAATTATAAGGCGCGCGTAATTCAAACTTACTGAGGGTCTTTATTTTTGAACGAAAAACACACACTCGGGTAGGAAAAAGTGTGCTGATTCCGAATATGACCTTTTTACCTCAATTTGACCGAGTTTTCGGGGAGAAAAATGGCAAAATAGTGAGACCAGGCCGAAAACCGGAAAAACTGTTCCTTCTTAGAAAACTGTTCTCATCTTTTTCACATCATTTTTTTTAAATTTTTTAATGGTATATTTGGATTCTACGTCGAAAACTGAGTCTAGAAAACTATCTTTCAAAGTTGTCTGTCCAGAACTGAGAATGTCCCCAGCGGTGTAACAGGACGAGCCCCGCGTTCGACCGGTCAACTTTGTAAACTTTTCAACTCATTCAGAATGACCGCTAGACACTTCAATCTTACGTCAAAAAATTCCCCATAATTTAGAACAAAGTTACACAGAGACTTTTTTGATTTTGTTTTTTAATATAGAAATAGGTTAGATTCTTTAAAAAACAGACATTCTGGGCCCAAATCGTGGAAGTGATTTTGTTCTAGAATCTTAAATTTTCGCTCAAATTGATTCAAACTCTCGGTGTATACGTAAAAAATGACGGGCAACCCGATGATAATCATCTCAAGGTTTTTTAGAGGGTTTCTAAAGGATCTCTAGAAAACTTTGTAAGGAAAACTGATCATTTCTGCGTATTCTGGCAATTAAATGTCGCTGTTACTCTGCGACATCTTTTATAGCTTAGAGGTCAAGCGCGAATCGCGTCCATTGATCAATCCAATCAGCCGTCCGCTTTGTACCCTGAATGACTCATCGAAGAGAGTCCAGAGAGAGCGGCTTGCAGCCGTAGCTCACAAATGTCTTTAATTTCAAGTTTTTGTTTGTTAAAATGCCGCGTATTTCAAAAAGAAAATCTCAGATAAGCGGAGTCCGCTTCAAGCCACGATCTAGAGAAAACTTTTCTGACGCAACACCTGAATCTTCCAGCGGAGAAGAAGATGAGTATCGCGACGACCAATCGGTACGAGAAATTGATTTTAGTACTACGGAGATGACACAAAATGTTGGTGATATTATGAAACTGTGTCAAGAAACTTGTAACATTAGATATTTGAGCACATTACTGTACATGTCACTAAGACATTTCAATATTCCAACAACTGCGCTCGACGTATTTATGAGTAGTATAGGTGCTTACAACAGAAAGACTTCTCATAAGTGGTCTGACGTTTTCTTAAACCAATCTCTTGATGAGTTTCTACTTGATCGTCGAGGCGGAAAAGGAGGGGACGGATTTTACGACTTATATCCTGAAATTGAAATTGAAGCACGTACATTTACAGTTGAAGCTTGTGGCCGAAAAGCCGCAAGTTTTACTGTGCAAGAGTTGGCTGAATTTATTGACTCCAAATTCTACGAACTTTATGATCTGAAAAAAACTAGTACCGGTTTGATTCGTTCAGTTGAAAGTGTTCGTCTTGATATGAGAAAATGGGGCATTAATTATTCGGCAAACGGTTTGAGACCCTATTTTATTGGCCACGAACGTCAGGATGTCATCGAACACAGGGGAAGAATAATTGATTATTTTTTGGCACGCGAGAAAATGTACTATCGACTCACAGACGATGATCAGCCGGAGTGGATAAAACCGACCTCCCCTAATCCAGTCATTTTGATTAGTAAGTTGCGACTGAGCGGGTCCCTAAGTCAATTTTTTAAATTTTCTGTCCTTTTTTTCACTTTTTTTTTGTAGCGCGCGATGAGTCCTCATTTCGTAGCGGCGAAATTAGTAATAAGAGATGGATAGTGGGTGATACGGCTCCTTTTCATATCAAAGGACGGGGCAAAACGTTGATGATTTCTGACTTTATGGTAGCACACGACTCGGGACCGTTTTTTCGACTGTCTGATCAGGAGTACGCCGACGCCGTTAAGAAATTTCCAGACTTAGAAGATGATGAAGGATTACGTTACGAAAAGAACTCGGCTACAGCTTCCATTGCCATTGGTACTGATACATATTTTGACAACGACACAATTTTGTCACAATTTGAGAGACTTTTCAAACTGCTTCAATTTAAAACGGACTACAAAGGACATGATATTGAAATTCTAGTCGACAATGCAACGACACATTCGAAAAAAGACTATTCTATTTCAGGCTTTTCCAAGAAAATAGGGACTCGTTGTGAAGTACAATCGATCGACTGGTTAGATGATAACAACGACTTTCACACATTAAATTGTTTCTTTACGAGTGGTCAGTATAGCGGAAAAAGTAAGGGGATGGTCGAAATAGGGAAAGAACTTGGTTTGAACGTGTCACACAAAATGACTGTAAATTTATTAAGAGAGGAATTAGGAAAACATCCCGCCTTTAAGACGGTGAGTGCGTCTCACTTTTTCAAAAGCCCATTTTACTCAGCCATTCTTTTTATATCTATAGATCTCAAATTGGAAAAGTTAGGCAACCATTACGGAATTCATGTAATTTTTCTTCCCAAATACCACTGTGAAATGTCAGGCATTGAAGGTTTATGGGGCTCGATGAAAGCCTGTAAGATTTTCAGTCTTAGAATTTTGTACCCGATCTTTCATGCTCTAAAGAATCCTGAGAAATTTTTTTTTTTTGTGTTTGAGATGTCAGAAAACACAGTGAACAATCATTCCCAAAAATGATCGAGTTAGTTGAAGAAGCATGTCAGCACTTTCAAGATAAAAAAATTGATCGTAAACTCCGACGGCGTTTTTGGCGCACATTACATGCTTACAATGATGGCCAGGACTATAAACAGGTGCTTTGCATGTTCTTCAGTACACTTTCAAAAGCAAATGTGATTTACCGTTCGGTGTACCGCAGTTAACAGACAAACTTTCGGTTTTCCGCGGGTTAACCGCACTTAATGTGCATTAAAACTGCTCAAGGTCTGTGAACGCATTGCAATTTCTGAATGCGTTTCAATTCGTTAAAACTTATGGGGGTTGCATGAATTAAGCAGTTTTAACACGTTTAAGCGGGTTAAAAGACTTTTACGCATTAAAGCACATTGATTATTGTTTCATTCATGAAAACGCATTAAATTCTAACGAATTTTAATGCATTCATCTATGACCATATGAACAGAAGGCTTAACTGTTCGGTAGAGTCCTTAAGGCCCATGTAGTATGACTGCTTGGGTAGAAAGGATCGTCCTAGACCAAACTTTTTGAGAGGAATCCAATGGTGATGTCAGAAAGAGTTGAAAATGTTTCTCTATCGAATGTGGATACGATTTTCGATGTTGAAAAGTGTTAATGTGTTCACATGCATTAATTTCTAATGCGTGGGAACGCGTTAAATGAACTCGAGTCCGTGTGAAGGAATTAAATGAACGAAAATACTTTTTAAGGCATTTGAACGCATTAAATAATCACACGGCTTTGAATGCCTTACTACCTAATGCATATGAACGTAAAGTTTTAACGAATTGAAACGCATTCAGAAATTGCAATGCGTTCACAGACCTTGTGCAGTTTTAATGCACATAAAGTGCGGTTAACCGCGGAAAACCGAAAGTTTGTCGGTTAACTGCGGTACACCGAACGGTAAAGCGCCCAATTAACCGAACGGTTAACAGTGGGTTAACCGACGGTTTTCGAACGGTTTTTGTGACCTGGGTAAGTTCACATGTTCGAATCTCTATTCGTACAAAAATTGATTTTGTGTTTTTCGATAGTTTTAGTTTAGAATACTATAATGGAATATTCTTCCGCTTGTATTCTGACAGAATAAAGCTTATATCCAATAAACAGGCTCGAAGACCGATCACAGCTGCACTTTCTCACATTGTCGAACAATCGATTATCTCATTATATAGGAGGAGGAAAGAATGTCTCCCTATTACGTCTTTGTTTTTTCTTATTATCAACGCGACCAGTTAATAGCACCATGTTGACTTCATTCTTCATCCTTCTTTGTTTCATTTTCATCATCAGTTCTCATCAACAAGGTCAGTAACAAGCACGAACGGATTAGGCTTGATGTCAAAAAGCGAATGTAACTACGGTAGTATTCAGTTCTGTCGACTACTCAAAATCGTTGAGAGGTTGTCGTTCTTTTTTTACTGATCTAACTCTCAGTAATGTCGAATCGTCTTAGCTGAAGTTTTCTGAACTGAAAAAACAGAAGAACGAGATAATCCTGCTCTCGTGCGTGTACTATGAAAAATATCTTTTTTGAGATTTTAACAAAGCTTAGCAGCACAACCCCTATGGGACTAAACTGCGACACTCACACATTTACTCCGATTTATGACATTCGGGCTAAAGAACATAATGCCATATTTTATATATCTTGCGGACCAGGTGCATTGAAACTCAGACTTTATCTGATTCAGCTCAACATATTTGCATTTTGTAGAATTTATATATGAAAATAGTGAGTGTAAGTTTATATTGCAGGCTATGACATACCGTACCCCGCACCGACGTCGATTCCGACGTTGGTCACCAATTACAAAGGCCCTAACCTGTCTGGAGCCGAGTTTAATCCCGGACTGGGGAAGAGGTACGGTTGGGATTACATCTATCCGAGCACGACGGAGATCAACTATTACGCATCTAAGGGCTTCGGCATCATTCGCATGCCGTTCGACATGACGCGGGCCTATCCTGAGCCTTATTCTTTGCTCGACACGACACAGACGGGTTACATCAAGACAACCGTCGATTACTGTATGTCCAAAGACATGCGCGTCATTCTCGACCCGCACAACTATGGCTACATCTTTGACAACCGGACGGGAGAGCATCGCTTGATCGGCGTAGACACGGAAGGTACGAACCTCTTTGCGGACTTCTGGGGCCGTATGGCGACAGTGTTTCAGAACTACCCGAACGTGCTGTTCGGTCTCATGAACGAACCGCACACGCAGACTGCCGCACAATGGCATGCTGGAGCAGTTCCAGCGGTTAAGGCTATTCGAGCGGCCGGTGCAACGCAACTGATCCTGATTCCCGGTACGGGATGGACTGGCGCGCACTCATGGATTTCCAGTGGCAACGCAGCGATTTGGGCTGGTTTTCAAAGTGATCCGCTGAACAACTTTGCGTTTGAGATGCACGAATACCTCGACATTGACTTCTCCGGCACGCATGACATCTGCACACTGAACAGCTATGTCAATCTTGGAGCGGCAACAGCCTGGTTGACCGCGAATCGGTTCCAGGGCTTTTTGGGCGAGTTCGGCTGGACAACTGATCCAAGCTGCACAACCGAAGGTCCGGCATTCATCAAATATGTCTCGGCTAATTTGAATGTCTGGATGGGCTGGACGTGGTGGTGTGGCGGACCGTGGTATCCGCAGACCTATAGGTTCATGCTCGACCCGACGAATTTCACTGAGCCAATCGTCGACCAACCTCAAATGACGGTTTTACTGAAGTATTTGTGACACTAGAGAATTCTTACATAAATAATATCTTTGCTTCGTTTTGTGCATTAAATAAGACCAGGGTGAAGGTGTAGAGTGAATAAAAGTTACCATGACCGGTTTTGACCTTGGTATACCCAAATTGTACTTTTAATTATAACGGGTGTTGAATTTGATCAATAATGTTGGTTGACCATTTAATGCCATCCGGAAGGTAGTTTGTTGTTTTTCAGACAGATTATAGAGGTGGCACATATACCTGTTCGCCTGTCTAATTTTGAACAAGAAAAATGTAGTGACGTGTTTCGTTGGCTGACGAGGGAATCTCTTCAGGTCTAAAATCGCTTTTCGCTGGAGACTATTATCATTAGATAGGCCCCAGATCAGTAAAAAGTATATGTTGGTTTCGGTTCATGGATCTCCTGAACTGACGAGGGAACTACCCGAGTGTCAGTAACCGTTTCGACCGGGGATATCATGGTTAGATAGGGTATAGCTAGGAGGGATATACTCTAAGTTGGTTCGTGCGCAAGTTGCTTCTAGCAGGAGTTATGAATTTTTCAAGTTATCAGCGAAATTTTCAATTTTTCTCCAAAATCTTAGTTTTCTCGAAAAAACAATGGCGTATTGGACTGAAACTTTTATTATGTCTATCTCAAACAGTGGTCTTAATCATTATCCAGTTTCAGCTGAAAATGATAAGGATATAACAAGAAAGACAGTTTTCAAAACTTTCTTCTCAACTTTATAGCCTTCCATGTTTCACTGCTTAATAAACAAAAAGATCGTTTGACCAAATCTTTTCAGTTTATTTTCGACTTAAGACAGTCTATTTATTTAACAAATGTAAACTTGTTTCCTTCTTTTCTGATCGATTTAAAAACTATGCTTTTGTAAGTAAATGGGATTAATCTCTGTATTATTGTATGTATGCATGAATATTAAAGATAAGAAGAAGAGAATATTTATAGAAGAAAATATTTTTCATTTATCAGTTCTTGTTCTTGTTATGACATGCAGGCAGCAGCGCAGCGCAGAGGATAAAAGAAAAAGAAAATAGTCAGTCGAGAACGCGAAAGAAAAGAATACGTAGTTTATCATAGGCAGTAACACACACAATGGATGAAGTAAACCGAATAATGCAATTGGTTCGAGAGCGAATATCTAAAGAACTTCCAGTTTCGCCATCACTTACTCCATTTCAAGAGGAAGAGCTTGCTGATCAATTATTCAATGTATTTGAGTCAATACGGTCAAGTACTGCGTATAACTACGAGCACGAAATAACTTTGGCTCACAATACATCAGACATTGAAATGGATGGATGTGAGGAAGATCCTGCTGATGCATCTGAAAATCAAGATTATGAAGAAAAAGACGAAGAACCGGTGTTTGAATCATTTTCTCTGTCGTACATGAAACGAGCGCTTGATTATTATGATGCAATTAACCCAAAAACTGGAAAACGGTCGCACACGTAGAAAAACGTTCAAAATAAGTTTAGAAGAATTACTCATCGACCATATATGGCGCATTTTCGAGAATACGTTGAAAAAGGGGGAACGAAGAAACAAAAAGCTGATTCATTAGATGATAATGTTTACAACAACTTCGAGCGAGCTCGAGATCTGCTGTATCCAGTTCACGACATAGACTTGAAATGATAGGCTGTACAAAAAGCCAGAACCATGTCATTGCATGATTTTATGGCGTCAGATCATTGGGTCTCAAATTTTAAGTATAACCACAATATTTGTTCGAGAAAAATTATAAAGGTAAGAGAATATTTTATAGCAACATCCGAAAACTTCAAATTCTACATTAGTGTACAAATATTGTTCTAATTTTCAGGTAGCTACGAAACGTGAATTGGACAATGAACTTGAAATTAAAAAATCAGCTGACAAATTTGTTACTGTACCACTAAAGTAACAAAAATTTGTTACTTGTTACTAGTAACAGTAATGGTAAACAGCCAGCCCTATACATAAGGCAACCATAATAATGGTTTATTGGTAGAAAATCTGATTAATTTAGATTCTAATTTTGCCATAAATAAATCTGCAAGTATGGGTGCAAGTAGTGAGCCCATTGCTACTCCATCAGATTGCACATAATTATTATTCATGAATCTAAATAAAATATCACATACGGCTATAATTCTAATGATCGTTTCATTTGTTGTCGACTAAAACGTACATCCGTAATTTTCTTTGGTTTATATAACATATCTAATCCAATTTAGATAGATTCTTTTACTGGCACGTTGGTGTATAGCGAATCTACATCAAAACTACAAGTTACATGATTTTCAGTGCATTGAAAATTCATTATTTGTTTACAGTATATATAATCAGTTAAAATCTTATCATGTATTTCGTAGCAGTTTTATACTTACTATTCCCATTGGAACTTTTAAATAACTTTAAATTAATGTACACTCATTTCTGACTCAAAAAACGATGGAAAATTACTTCACATCAATTTAAGAGGCCAAATTAATTTAAAGTCGTTTGTAGGAAATTAGTTTACATCAGTTTCGCACTAAAAATGAACTGAAATTAATTTCTAGGTTAAAATCAGTTCCAATTAGTTTGAAAAGACATTAATTTAAATTGGTTTTAACTAAACTGGTTTGAATTAATTTATTTCGAATGAATTCGAATTAATTTCGTGCTTTAAAGTGCTTCAAATTAATTTCTACTCTCAAATTCATTTAGAGTAATTTATTTCAAATGAGTTCGCGATCGTTTTAATCCCTCAAATTCATGTAAACTAGCTTCGATGGCTCAAAATTCATTTAAATAAATGTTTTTGTAATAGATTTGTAATAATTTTGATAACATAAATTAGTCTTAATTAATATTGAGAGTCGAACTTAGTGTAGATGCGAATTCTTCTTCAGAGGTTAACAAAAAACTGTATTTCATGTGTCACTTTCTCTTGACCAGACAAGAAATGCAAATATGTTCACATCTCTAGAACCCTCGCTCGCCTGAGGTGAGTCGCCTCCCGACTTGCACATCCTTCTACTGGAAGTTCAGGCTGTTTAAAATGGATAAGGACCATTCCACGTAACGGTCAGCTTTTATGTCCAAATTTTGATAAGAAGCTGTTTTCGTTTGGCTTTTTCTCCTATCTCTTGCAATAGTTTTTAGGTTTTGAGCAAATAGTTAGATAGAGAAATGTTTTGAGATCAACAATGTCATTTTAGTTCAACTCTCGCTCATTCTTGAAGGAAAAAACTCGAACTGCGAAAACATAGTTATTTGTAAAATGCGTGATTCCGTAACAATGATATTTTACCAATTTAAGCGTTAATTTCGGACCTGTAAAAATAATTTTTTTCAATCGATAACCCATGAACTTTTCTACAACATTTCCACATAAAGAATAGAGATTAGCTGAGTTTTCGACAACTTTAAATTGTTTCGGAGTGGCTATTCCATTTTTGGTGATTCCGTGACGGTCGATATTTTTCTTATAAAATTTGAGCCATATAGTCAAACTTAACAGAAATTTTAGAGACTGTCGAGCACATTATTAGACAGGTTTGGTAAGAATTTAAGCATTTCTTCGTTTAAACTGACTGAGAAATTACAGTCAGAAGCGGAAAAAACGTGAGTCCATTACGATTATTTTGGTCGATAAGAGTTTTTTATGCTCTCTCAGTACGAAACGCGCTACGTTAAGTCCTCCCACTCAGAAACCTACTTTCGTCCAGGAACATTCAACTTCGATGGAAATTTTAGACAATGTGCACCTTGAGGTACTTAGTCATTCTACTAATTGCACCCTCTTATCAGTTATTTCCCCAGAGTTATTCTTAAATTAGTTGTGAAAAAGTATAGTTTCGTACTTCCAAGATTCCGCCGCCATTTTTTGAGCTAGAAATTTCGAATTGGTTCCAAAGGATAGAGAAATGTTTTTTCTATGTCGTGACGTCGTTGGATCTTTCAATTCAAGTTTAGATTAGGAGGAATTTACAAAGTTTCTGACAAGTTAGAGAGATTT